AGCAATGCACAACCTGTTTCTTAAAAAAAATAAATTCTTTTATACGTTTTGTACTCATATCCTACTTCTTTCAACATGTGCCCCATCTAAGAATACTTCAGTGAATAACAGTTCAACATTCAGCTTATTTATCACCTTCACGGTTTTGTAAATCTCACTCAGCTTTACCAGGTCAGAAATGAGAGCCCCTATCTCTTGTAAGGCAGATGCTTCATCCACTAGATAATTTAGATGCTGGGATAACTCCTTCAATGCCATGAGGTCCTGCCAAGATGTGAAGACCTGAGCTGTACCACTAGTCAAGGTACAGCTACACATACTGAAGTTCAACAGAGCAGGAAAACAATAGCATCTGCCTTCTTAATACCTTTCTAGATTATATTAAACTTTTTGTTGACTTTTTTTGCTGCTGCTTCCCACAGGGCATTGATTTCAGAGACTGAGCAATAGTAAATCAGATCTCTTTCCTGAGATATGTGTCGCTACTGAGCTTAGCATTAGTCACACAAGGTTTCAATTATTCTTTCCTACGTGCATTGCCTTACTTTTAGCTACACTGAAGCTTATCTGCCACTTTTCTGCTTATTAGGCGTTTTTAAGTCCAATTGACTTTCAGCCAAGTTTCTCTTCAAAAGTACTTGAAAAGCTGTGTTCCTCAGTGACCTCTTTGGCCTCTTGCTCTTCTGTTTTTTTTTCAGCTTTCGTGATGCCACTGCTGCCTTTCACCTCCTGCTGACCAAATGCAAAGAGTTTACTTTCGTTTTCCCTTTTCCCCTCCCACCACCTTGATATAATCTTGTTTACAAGCATTCCTGAGCCAAGTGGGTGGTACTGCCTTCTTGATTTATAATATGCTTATACACATATTTATTAAAGGCATGTGATGTCTGTCCTTCTGTCTAATTACTTAAACGCACCTTCTTGCAAGGCTTTAGGTCTTTCCCATCAGATTATACACAAACAGTTCAGGTAAAAACATAGGAAAAGTGTGTTGCCTTTTCTGTCCAAGACAGGTCTCTGTATTTAAAATCAGTGTAGAGAGTATGAATCTGTTTTGAAATTAACTTATGGTAAGTATTTTTCAGTTTCTTCACAAGGACCTTTTCAAGGATGAAATCATGTTAAAGAACAAATGTGCTAATTATGTGAGAAACACTGTTCTGGAGCCTCTTTTCATCTTTGATGGCCCACTGTGTTTGCATATAGCAAGAGGGAAGAGATGCAGACCCAACTAGAAGCCATATGACCATTAAAAAATGTTTTGAAAAAGGAAAAAAAAATCTGGAAAAAAAATCTGAATCTTAATAATAGAATCATAGCATCAACATATAACTGTAAAAATATGTCTAAGTGCACAGTCCTGCAATGTAGATAAAGCAGCTGCCTGAGACACAAGGCAGGAATTACTTAAACTGAAGGCCCATAAAAAGCATAGGTGTGTAAAATCAACACAAACAGAACATAACTGTTTTCATGCAGAATAAACTTGGAAGAGCACCAGTAAAGGGCCCTCCAGTAACGATAAAGGTCTGCAGATGAGATCATAAGAACACTTAACTCAGTGTAGTGACAAGCCAAGAGACGTCCTTCTTCTGCCCATGCCAATGGTCAGTGCCAGATGCTTGGAGAAAAGTATGGAAAGGCTACAGAAGGATCCTTCTCCCCACCTCTTGTCCCACATTCAAGAAGTTGTTTGCTCAAATGCTTCCTGAGCTGCAAATCACATACCTTTCATTAAAGACCCATGGTGGAGGTACTCCAAATGTGCCTAATCTGTGCCTAATGTTTATATTGTGTTTCACATGTGTTTCATAACTTGATTGCACATGGGTTTTAACTTTCTGTTTGGTAATTTCAGTGCCATACTTCGGATTCCTGCATCCCGAGAGCAGGATGAGTCATCGCAATTACAAGGTCCTTGACAGAATCCCATTTATGGTGCTGCAGATGCAAGGGGAGCTGGGAGTGGAGCAAGAAGTAATATATTTATCAAATGCTAAGAACTACATCTGCCATTGCATGGCTGGCCTGGTTGGTTTTGGCCCATTTCTGGTTCTCACAGGTGATCTGACAAAGGCTCCTGTTTATCCTTACTTATGTCACTGGTTCGTGTCAGTAACTGGCTTTTCCTAGCAAGATGCTCTTTGACTGGGACTGCCAACTAACCACACTGAAGAACCAATCCCTTTATTAAAATAAATAAAAATACATTATTTAGATAAATAATATACCATTGTTTTAAAGTTTTGCTTTCCCAGCAACTAGGGAGTACAACAACATTATCTATGTTCATCCAAGTGGATTCTTCCATGCTAACTGTGTACCTGTGTACCATCCAGTGCACCATTACTACTATTATTCAATAATTAAAACAAAAACAAAAACAAATGTTGAAAAGGTTTTTTGGTGGAAATGTGCAGAACTGAAAAAATTTGAATACTGAGCTTCCATCATCCCACTGTAGGATGACTTCTTTAGGAAAGAAAAGGAAGGAATCAGACCTCCTAATGCTTTCAAAGAATGTCGTGCTTTTTTGATCCTCTTCTGGAAGTCCCAAGAACAGAAAATCAGATTGAAGTTCTTGATGAGAGCATTCTTTGTAGATTCAAAGCAGGTGCATAAAAATGCACATTTGTGTTTTCTTGTAGGTCTCACCATAAGGCATGTAAGCTAGAACAGTTTGGGAAGTAAAATGTGAATGTCTCCCTTGCTGTTGCTAGGACTTGTGCATATGTAGGGGCCATATTTGAGTCTGGGTTTACTTTGTGGGGTTTTACTGTAGTGCAGAGTGTCATCTGAAAACATGCTTCCTTCAGGCAAAAAATAGAGCTTTTATAACTGCCATTTTCTACAAAAGCATAGGTAAAATTACAGAGAACAGAAGGTCTTGAGTAAGCTTGAGTGTTGGGTTTTCTGCAGGTTTTGTTGCTTGAAACAGAGCTCTTACCTTTAAAACAGTTCAAAATGAAAAGGTTTTCATTTTCTGAGTCATTGAGCAACACTCTTCTGAAATGTTCTTGGAGTGTTTGTGTATCAGATTTAATTCTTGTGTTGAGAGAAGTTGGTTTTCATCAAGGACTTTTCACTCATACTGGAAATTGATTTTTGAACCTGATTTTCCTATCCAGCTCAGGCACCAGGCAACAAGCTCAGGGCTGAGGCTGCAATAGGACTAGGTAAATGTGCGAGCCTCATTGGATCTTCTGCAATTCCCAAACTTTCAGAAGATGGAGGAAGTTTCTGAGACAAGGTGAGCTAAGTGAGAATTTGTTACCTGCAATAAGATCTCTATGCAAAACAGAGATTGTGAGCTTGGTGATGGGCATAAATGTACACACACACACACATATACACGTGTATATTCAGACACAACAGAGTGTTTTTTGCAGTGTTTTGGTTGCCTTTAAGGTTTTCTGCTTACCACAAGTATTCTTAGTAAATGTGCTCCTTATATCTGCATTGTCTTAACTTTACATGAACAAAGATGGGAATGAGATGAGAAAGGAAGTTGAATTTGGTCCAGAGAAGACATTAAATGGGATAGAATTTTTAACATGAAGCAGAAGGGATGTAAGGAGTGAGGGGGAAACAGCATACCAAAATTCTCCAAATTAATTGAAACACTGAAACAATCAAGAAGCTTCTTCAGTATCAGGTTTCAGTCTGAACTTTCATGGTCTGATCTTCCTCTTCTCGTAACTCTGTTTTCAAGTTTGTGATCAACAAACTCTTTTACTTTATTAAAAAAAAAAATTAAATCCTGCTTTCATCCTTAAGCTTGTGTCTTCTTCCTCAAGGAACTGGAAGGGCACGTGGATAACTTCTCCCATTGTAACTGAAATAGTGTCTGCTGACAAGCTCTGAGACAATTTTGGAAAGCCTCAGGAATTGAAATGTTTCGCTCATGCTGTAGCAATCCATTTGTGAGGTGGCATTACTGGGGTTAGACACAGCAAGGAGTCTCCCATCCTGCCCTCCTGGCATGAATCTGTTCCTAAAAGAAACATCTGAAGAAAAGAAAAAAGGAGAGAAGGGAAGGGAAGGGAAGGGAAGGGAAGGGAAGGGAAGGGAAGGGAAGGGAAGGGAAGGGAAGGGAAGGGAAGGGAAGGGAAGGGAAGGGAAGGGAAGGGAAGGGAAGGGAAGGGAAGGGAAGGGAAGGGAAGGGAAGGGAAGGGAAGGGAAGGGAAGGGAAGGGAAGGGAAGGGAAGGGAAGGGAAGGGAAGGGAAGGGAAGGGAAGGAAGGGAAGGGCCCACATAAGAGCAAGACTGTCCTGCTATTGGCAGTTCTGGCAGGTCAATGGAAGTGAGCAAAGCTCCAGTTGAATCCTTGCCATAGCCAATATGCAGGTGGTAGCTGTTGAGATTTGAGTATGGCTTTGTACCTTGGCAGCAGTGATGACACTACACTGCCCTTGCAAGAATAATAACAGACTTGACTGAAGGCTGCAGTGTGAGGCTGAAAAGCTGCTGCGGACCTTCTGGTGTGTCTAGGCACACTGGAGGACTCCAAATAGCAACTGGTGCTATGAGGAAGGTGCTCCTCTTCAGCAACAGCTGCTGTGCTATCTCAGAACTGAGGAATATGGGAATTGCCAGCTTGGTCCCTCCTTGTGTTACCATGAGAGGGCAGACATCTGCCCCGGCAATGGGCCACCTCAGGCAGCTGCCAACTTTTCCTGCTGTTAAGGCTAACCCTACATTCAACTTGATGCAGTAGCCTGAGGTGCTTTCAGCATTATGGGAGACCAAGAATCAAAGAACCTTCATGGATTTTCTTTTCATTAATCTGAAGTCATCAGACTCCCTAACCTGGAGTGTTCTGCAATGCAAACCTTTTCAAACACAGAAGAGTTTGTGGCTGTCTCTGAAAAGGATGCAGTTAGTTACACAAGCTCGGCTTTCCCCGTGCTTCACGAGACACACTTGACCAGAAGAACTGAAGCCACTGAGCCCACACACATCAAAAGGGGTACTCAGGAGCTAGACACTTAAATCCAGAGATGCGCAAACCAGCTTCCAGTCCCAGGCAGCCGGTGGGTTTCGTGATGGCCCTGCAGGGCCACGAAGCGGGTCGGTAGGAGGGAAACAGCGCCCGCGGCTCGGTGCCAAGTTTTACTTTGGCGAGAAAGGAAAACGAAACTAAGCGCTTCCCCGCGCCTCGGGGGGACGGGAGGGACGGGAGGGGAGGGGAAGGCATCTCCGCCGCGATGTTAAGAGCGCAGCGCCGGGCGCTTCGCCGCAGCTTGCGAGCTCAGCGGAACAGAGACTAGTCTACTTGAACTGAACCGAGTCGAGTCAAACCGGCCCCAGACGGGTCCAAGTGAACTGCATCGCATCCTG